AGCAAAACACCACATCAATTTTGACAAGCTGTTCGGAGCATGTTCGCTTCGCCCACAAGATAAATCTGAGAGAACTGAGAAAGATTCCGATCGAAAGCAAATTATCCTTCCTACTAAGGACACGCCAAAAACTCACCAGAGATCCTGTCCTTGCAGATTTCCTCATTGAAAGAGCATCTGGGCACTGAGGTGACTTGCTGAATTCCCTCCCCTCGTTATTTACAGCTGGTGAATTCGGCCACACCCGTGTGCAACAACGGGCTTGAATAATGCCATCTCCAGATTCAAAAGAGGAGGTAGATTTCCACGTTCGTGTCATGGTTACTTTCATCGTGGTAGTGTACACTATTGCTGGAGTTTTCCTGTGCCGAGAATGTTGGCCGATGGTGAAAGATATTTACAGATCATACTACCCAGAGAGGCCGGTTGCGAAGCGGAAATCTTCGGTTCCTTAGATATGAAATGTCAACGAGATGTGAAAGGAAAGCCACTCAAAGAAGATTTTCAGTTGGTTACTTCTGTTTTCACGGCAAGGCATAGCAAAACATGGAAGTACGATGAAGGAATAAATGACAGTTAAGGACACAACTTTTTGATTAATTTCATTCTACGTTTAAATAAAAAATACAAGCCTATTTATAGGCAAATTGAAAGGCGTGTATTTTCACTGACAATTTTGTGCAGAGGCGAGGGGGAGGCAGTCCAATCTACTTCATATTCCCACCCTCCCTTCCCCCACCCAAGTTTCGAAGCGGAAATTATTGCTTACGTAGTTTAGAGTTTGCCTAATATTTACATAATATTTTTTCCACAATATTTAGTTTTGTGACCTCTCAACAGGGTCGTTTTTTATGAAATTTAAAAACCTGAACTCTGTCTTCCCTTTCGTGTTTAAAACATTGTCTTCCTAGCAACAACCGTCACGCCGTTTGAGCTCGGAGACTCTCTGGATGGAACTTGACTTGCCTGTCTTCAACATATGTCCACCTATTGTTTATAATGGTTTTCTTTTTCATGGAATAACCTTCTAATGACTACTTTCATTTTCAATGATTTCATAAGCTAAAATGAATATTTGAATAAGGTTTTAAATTCCCTTTTCGTAAACTTGCTGATGCATTGTCTACAGTGGCTAATTTCAAAGATTCCCCAACAAGTTATTGGTAAATGAGGCCGAGTAAAATTGTTCATCTGCTCAGTTTTAATTTGCCACAAACTTTAATTTTTTTCTGCTGCGAATCAAATATTAATATCGTCTTCATCAGCAAATAATGCCGTCAAGACCACCGTAAATGAGGCAAAATTTACAACCGTTTACCCTTTCCAATGGTAAGATTCTTTTTTTTCTTTAATTTTAATGCATGAGATTTACAACACCTTATGTTGAGGTTAGAGGCTTGAATTACTGCTAGCCTACCGAATTTTGTCTTAAATTCAGCTGGAGAATCTCAACTGTGCGGAACTTAAGATTTAAAGGTAGTTACAATTTTGCGATCGAGAATACAAGTGATGTTTGCGTCGCTCTTTTAAGTTGTCATATAATTCTAAGTTTTAGGTGACATCATGAAGACCATGAACAATTTTAGCATATGAATGTGATGTTTGAAGACAGCTTATTAACTTTCTTTGTTCCTTTCCAGGCGATGGAAATCCACATTGACTACATTATCTACTTCATTAACTTCGTCATTTACGTTATCCTTTGCTATATGATCATAAAACAGGCTAAGAACGATATTTTTGCACCAAATAAAAAGGAACGAAAATCAGAAGTTCGATGTCCAACGCACGGAAGCCTTTTATCCATTCTATATGGTTATAAACAATGAATGATGATTAATGATCGACCAAACACCAGCTTATATTGGCTAGATTTTGAGACAGTCCTTGCACGCGAAATTCTAAAAACTGAAACCCAGTTTTAGTTTCATAAATGCCTGTTGAGTATCTCAAGTAGTTAGTGTTTCCCTCTCTGATGAAAAACTATGTATAACCTACAGCTGTTAAATCATAACTCAAGTAGCATTAAAGTATAAAGATGTATTCCGCTATACTGTGAAATTTATACCTTTTATAACTGAGTAAAATTGGAAAAAAAATTGATCTAGATGACTGCTGTGCCTTGTGAAAAAAGTGAGGAAAACAAGGGGAGGATTCAAGACTGTGATGCGTTAATTTTCAACATATCTTCTGAACTCATTAGAACTAAAAGGACTGTCAACTAAACGAACTGAGGATGCACCGCGCAGAGAGGGACATAATTTTCATTCACAAAAGGTGGTACATGCATAATCTAAAAACTATGATCCTAGCTTGAATACAAATCCGAGCAGTTTATTTTGAAAGCTAAAAACCTGATAAGAGGCAGCGATTTACCGCCACGTCTGTTGTACGTGTCGGATTTAAGCAATCGGCGGCATTTCTGCCGTTCCCTAGGTCTTCGCGTTTACACTTGGTTGCGAGTGAAATATGGCTTGGATAAAGATTAGGAAAAGAGAGAGAGAGGTACGAAGAGAAAGATAGAATGAGAAAGCCAAATACTAGAAACAGCGGTAAGGAGAGTAACGCAACCTCGAAAACTTCAGACTTTTGGAATTTACGGTCATATTCTACACCACTGAGCTTCAAAGAGCCGGATAGTGATTGTCCTAACCCTCATAAAGGGTATTATCAAATTTATTTGCGACGAAAGCCCTACATAGAGCTAGGAACAGTTATTTAGAAGGAGTCGTTTGTTTAGAGAAGGTATGCAACACATATCTTCAAAAGGTGAAATAAAACGATTAAAAGCGCAGTTACCGTCGCTCTTCGCTGTAGTTTTTACTAGTGTTGACAAAAACTATGTCCTTGTAAATACAGAAGTGCACATACAGTAATTCCCGGGTTATATTCTTTGTAAATATCAGTTACTACGACCAAAAGACGCTGTCGACCCGGCTAAACAAGATGGCGTAGTTTACAGGATTCCCTGTGGATGCGGCAAGGTGTACATCGAAGAGACTGGAGGACCTATGCAAGACTGAATTAAGGAGCACGATCGAGACATTCGACTCGCCCCCACCGAGACCTCCGCCGTTTCAGAGCACAACAACCGGACACAAGTCACTCTGGAACTAAAGTAAAGTTTATTGATCGTGGCCCTTATTACTACACGCGCAGGGTCAAAGAAGCAATTCATATAAGACTTCACCCTAACAACATCAGCAGGGATAGTGAAATAGAAATTCCAGAAGTGTGGATGCCCATGATCAAAAGACACAACAACAGGAGAGCCGTGCGACAGCGGACCGCCAAGGGAGCAAATCACTGAGTGAACAGCAAGGATCGAAATGTACCAATCAGAGCTGTTGAATAACAACTAATCACAGCAGAGCATCATGCTTTATAAGATCAAGCATGACCAGTCGACATCACCAGAAGAAGACTAGCAGTATGCAGTCGAAACGTCGCGATCTACATCACACGTGACTACATCGTTGAGACAAACGAAAAAAATTAGCTTTTATTTTATCTTCGTTATAATCAATATTTGCATTATCATTTGCTAGTTAAAAAAGATGAAAGACGATGAGAGAAATGGCCAGCCATATTATTGCGATTGTTTTGTCTTGTTGAGTGCACTCAGTTAAGCTTTGTCAGGATTAAAACTAATTTGCGGCGGAAAAAAGAATCAAAAACTAATGAAATATGTTATCGGATAACCGTCTCATTCTTCTTTGTCTTTCGATTTCAGTATCTCTACGAGGGCTTAATTTTGTTATTTATTTTTTTTATCCATTCGTTGTTGTTGTTTTTTGTTTTGCGGGTGTCTTTTCTCTCGCGCAACGCAATCCTATAGAAAAACCATTATGCTTACATATTTAAAGCTGGGAGGCGGTCAACGTAAGCCAGTCCGGATAAAGCCGCTCGGTTCTGCACTCGCACGGCTTTGTTGACACTTTTTCCAAAAACGTGAATTTTAACGAGGAGGCTTTAGCAGACCGCTGCATGTTTTCCCTTTTTATTCCACTGGCTGGGAGGTTATGGTGCATGGATAGCTGAGATCAAATCACAAGAGGAATTATGTCACTAAACAGAGCTATCTTAATCTCGGATTAAAATAAAAGGCACCAAAATAAAATACACCATTGGCAGCCGACTAACGTGCTACATTGCCGGGACGCGTTGCAATTCGACACACGATTCGTGCGATATCGTTCGTTCGATCTTATCCGTTAGTGTGAAATTTAACGTGAAATTCTCCGCGGCAGGTGATGATATAAATTTCACTTTATGGTTAGATGTTGACAGTTCTGATGCCTATCAGCCATCAGTCTTGGCACGTTTTGACAAAGACGGCCCACATCTATCGAAACCGTCAACATTTGAGTATGCCAAAAAAACTACCGGCTGCAGGGAAAGAAGTTATATAAAATAGTTTGAGCTTATTCCAGCCTGATTACATTCTTCAAGACTTAAGCTATATATGTATAGCTCTGTAGCTCAAACTGATAGGGATTTGTTGCCGTTCCATAATTCTTTAAATTAAGGACCAATATCATGCCTTTCTTCAATGGTGAAACAAAAATGACTGCAGCAGCTGTGCAAGCGGAAAGATCCCTGATGTTTACTTGGGGATGCACTGAGCTCGTAGTAAATAGTGAATACAAATTTACTGCGAATTACAGGAGCAATAACTCGTTTTTAACTACAAATCGATATAAAAGCTTCGAGATAAACCCTTTTACTCTAAAGATCTTCTAAGTAATTCTCCTTACTGCCTATCATACAATTTTTTATGATGGTGATTTGGAGAAATTGGTATTGGGTCAACTGATAATCTACTAATTAATATTTTTCCTTATTCTCATCAGTTGTTTGTTTGATATTGTATTGAAATCGTGAGGAGAAAATGTGCCGTGGTCAGTCATGGGAGTTAAAGGGTTAGAGAGTCCTCACACTACCCTGGCGGGCCACTTAAAATGTTAGGGCTCAACAACAAATAGAGCGACTCGTACATATTCACCATATGGACCACAGCCTTTATTGAATTCAAACAATTTATAGATTTTCACAGAACATAATATTGATGATAGCGGCTAAAACATCTGCATCTCAATTTCGTTATTTAGGAATGAAATTATGCTTTAACTTCAAGTTAGCTGTGTAGTCTTCACTGCAGTGAACCTATTTCTTTTGTTCCATTCCACATCTCAGCTCGCGGGCCTGTAAGCAAATTTCTCTCCGGTACTGTTGCTCACGTTTTGCCTACAAAGATTCAATGAACATAATCTTAAAATTTCTCTTCAAATTTATTCGAAAAAAAAGCAATAAAAAAAAACAAGACCGTTAAGCTCTGACGAATATTTGGAGTAAAATGCATGAGAAGAACCGAATGACTTCTTCCTCCAATTCAACCATTTGGATACTGACTTAACCAGACAAACCGAAGAGACGATATTATAAACCTGTACTTACTTCCTCCAAGCGTCTACGGATTTTCACCTTCATCATTTCTAAATTTCCAGCCTTTTCTTTATCTCTTAACTTTTTCAGAGTCCCTTCCTAAAAGAGTTTAAAACGGCTTTCAGTGCGAAAAATTACTGAGTTGAACAACTAGGATCATTCAACAATGACATGAATGAAATGATAAAGAAAAAACATTATTGAAAGATTCCAGCTCATTTTGACATGACTTAATACAAAGATAAGATATTTCTACACTCTCTTATGAGTGTTCCTTACTGGAAATTCTCCTTTTGAAAGGAAAAAACATTGCCATTCCTAATCGAACCACTAAGAAAATTCAACTCAAATTAAACATTAACACTATCTAAAACATTTTAAATGGATTGAAAACGAAAGAGATTTCTACTTATTCATGTACTTTCTTTCCATTACAATTTCCAGGCGCCCTGCAGGGAGGATTAGTAATGCTGCCCTCAACTAACATCGAAGACAGGAACAGTGCAAAAACACAAAGCGCTGTTGTCTTCATCTTGTTGAAATAATCTTCAGTGCATGAAAAATTCTGATATATATAGTTACCGTCGACGATCCAAGATGTGTGCAGCTGTATAGAAACGCTTTTCCAGCTCAGCTCGGAGACAATTAATCACTTTCTCAGTCGGCATTCTTCACAAAAATGCGTCAGTCAAAATGTGCCATATTTTTTTTTAACAACGGGATCTTAATCAACTTGTCCAGTTTGCCTCATTTCCAGATGTCGGTTCAATCATCCAAAAATGCGCAAAATATTTACTTCGCTGCTTAAACAGAGTAACCTTAGATAGATATTTTGCAAAGGCAAAAGAAAATTAACGATGTGAACTTAAGTAAGAGTAACATGACGAGCGAGTAAGGTCTTTGGCTAAACAGCAGTTGAGGTCCTCTCGGCTGGCCGCATCACGCTATTCTTTTGCTTTCCTGCATCTTACTGTTAGATTTCAGAAGACTATCAAGGAGACTATACTAACAACGCTGCTGACGGAAATTTCTGAGATCAAATAAATCGCTCTTTTTTTGTAAAAACTCATGTGTCTCTAATGTAAGATTTTGTTGCTTCCCGAAAGATTTTAACACCGTGAAGGGTTTTCGCGTCTGACTTATATACTTCCGTATATTTCAAGTTGTCATAGGCTATTGTCTAAGAACATTGTTGCTGACTTTCTATGAGGGTATTTTAAAGAAGTCGCGCTCAAAAAATATTCTTCGTCTCTTTCTTGGTCAAAATCAATTTCATGGCCGGGAAGGATTGCAGAACATTTTGGGTTCGTTTACGCGCTTGTTGTGACAGAATTACCTGAAGATTAGTAGATAGGCTGTAGGATACCTCCTTCGAAAAACAGCTGTCGGGCATTTGTCATTTTGCCTTATTTTTAAAGTTAAGGCTCCTTTTGTAGAAAGGAACGTCCGCATTGAAAGAATCAAACTTTAAAAGGTGTAGAAGTAAGAAACCCGCCGCTGCTATTAATCAAGTGCGGAGGCGAACCAGTTATCGGGCGAAGTATTAAGTCTAGGGACTTCTTTATATATCACTGCGACATTAACTTTTAAGAACAATTCAAAGATAATTTTTTTCATATAACATTTAAGATCACTGGAAATCTATAGATAGATAAGGGTTACTTTCAAGGCGCCGCACGAAAGTGCGATTTCCTTATGGTGTCGAGCTGTCAATTCATCCACGATGATTCCCTAAATTTTTTCAACTCTGAATGCTATCAATAATAGAATAGTGTGACTAGATCATAAAATTCATTATTTGCACTGATGTAATGAATAGTTAATTCGGCATTAAACATCTTTTATTTCTTTCTTCTCTCTTTTAATTTTGATTTTATCATTTTGTTACTCAGCAAATCGACCGCTCTGCACAATAACAATTTCTGCTAGTAGCTAAATATTTTTCCACCCGTATCTTCAGCTATACGATTTTCATTTAACCAGGTGCAGTTTGCATTAGCATCTTTTAGTGAAGTTCTTCCACGCAAATGAAACACCTTTAGAAACTTCCGAAAAACTTTTCGTTGGAGACTGCCTTCAAAACGCAGTCATTTCAGACTGTTCTGTATCACGGCCGAACGTAATTAGTTGGAGCTTGAGTTATCACTCAATAATTGTCTGCGACTTTTCAAAGAAACTTATCAGTTCAAAGTAATTTTCAACATTCACCAACGAAAAATAAATTTTAAGATGGTTAATATTAATATTGTGGTGCTTAACTCCTTATGTGCTATCTCTACAGAAATGGGAGAAGAAAAGAAAAAGAAAAGGTTAAATGATCTTGAATATCCTAAAAGGTGTGGCTTGCGCACGAGGAATATAGCCTTGTGTCTTATCTAACCCTGAATACGCAAATGTGGTGAGAATAGATAAAGCCGGCGACCCGACATTTAAATTTCTAGCGTGACTTACGCCATCCTAAGTTTTTTGAAAATTTGCAGAGCTATGCATGTTTAGCTATTCAAGTTTAAAATTTCGAGTCATTCCGGATGGAAATGAACGCACAAGTTTTCGTAACAAAAACCATCGCATCTCTCATGACGCCTTTCTGCTTAGACACGTATCCCATGTAAGCCGATAAGAGAAACTGAGATAAATAAATAAAAAATGAAGTAATGAAATGCTTGATGTTTCCCTTCTGACAATACTTTTGTAGACTGATGTTCATGAAGGTTGTCCGATAAATGATCTTTTACATAGACTTTTTGGTAAAGCTGCTCACACTTCAATGAAATAAAGGGAACCAGAATTGTCTTTTATGTTAGGGTATTTATGGTCCATTAGTATTGGTATAAAACAGCCCGCTGTATTCCGAGCGGCTAACCACGGCTTTTTTTAGTTTTATTTCAAGAAGAGCAGCTCTGGGCCAATATGCTAATTGACATCTCCATAGTAATTGAGAATTTCCTTTTGTTCTTTGTTTTATCAGTTGTTACCGGCTTCACACTAACTCAGCCGTTTAAGCTTTTGTTGTCCTTTGCGTGTCCAGGCCACCACCGCTGGAAATGCAATGACAGCGAAGAAGTGAAGAACTTTATAACGATAATTTCACGAAACTGAGTTCTTTTAATGAACGAATTTGTTAATAAGTCAAATGGGATCCCTTAGAATTTCAGAAATTTATGCAAATAAACTATCTGGAAGATACCTTTCAGACATACACATTCTGATTGATGAAAATTTTAATCGTTTGTTCCACGACATAGAGTTTCTTTTGATGAAAGCGTCAGCTATCAGTTACAGATAGCGCCGATCAACAGATTAAAGCTGACACCACAATTGATACTGACTCTATATTGCGAGGCATTCTCTATCATCACAGCCAGAGCCATATAACCACGACGAATTAAAACATTCTCCACTTGATCCTTGATTTTGCGTTTCGCTTTATCATTCTTTGCTGCAAAGTCGAGCACCATTTGCATTCAAATTTCACGTTATTCAGTTTTATGCCGCTATACTGCACGACAGTTGACGTTTCATCCTGAAACGTTTGATCGGAACTTGACTGGTTCGTCAAACTGCTTGACAATGAGGTGTTATTAGTAAGATAAAAAGCTGATATTCATAATGTCTTGAAAAACTTGCCATTTAAATTTGAGCAAACACTACAAGAAACAAGCTTCTCCTGTTAGCGTGTCTGCACGCCAGCCTGGCCGTTTAATATTTTGCGGCGCAAACTCAAATATATTATGAACGTACGTGTATCATGTGGTTACAAACTTTATGAAATTCAAATATTTCATTTTCACAATAAACAATCCTATAGCAGCTTATACATCTGCATTTCAATTAACCAATTATATGGCAAGGTAGTCCTGAGTTGAATCTTAAAGTTCTGATTGGTTTTGGTTATTCTCGAAAACCTGTAAATTCAAAATTTGCAACTAAAACTGTAAAGAAATTAGTCAACAAGTGACCAACCGGCCGATTACAATGTTGTACGACGGAAAAGAATATGATAATTCATCAAGCAAATAATTTATTATGATCTGGAAACCTCTGAAACAAGTAATAGCGAAAGCCTGTGGGCTATCAATAAACTGAGCTGATAAAAGCGAAGAAGGTATGAAGAACTTTCTAGAGGTTTAACGGCTTCCAATTACGCGCAACGGTATTAATTAATTAAGACCTTTGGGGATTGTGTACTCGAGACAAAACAAATTAAACAACAATAACACAGGCAAACATTGAACGCTACTCTTTCTTACATCAATCTCATCTAAGCGTCAACGTGATATTCTTCTTCTTCTTCATTTCTAAATTTTCAGCCTCCATCCCTTTATCCCTCATAGCTTTCAGTTTTTGCAAAAGTTTAAAAGGATGTTAGAGAAGCAACCGGGTAACACATCTGCAGACAGTACTGTTTCGGCCTTCTGGGCCTCATCAGGTAAGGTAAGGCTATATAGCCACCCCAAGTGATCTCACACGTGTGGTATCATCTAAGCCATGCCAGAGTGCTCAAACTAGATAAACTAGTGAGCATGCATAATGCTAGCAGCAATGACTCATCCTAGTAGAGTGCTCAATTTGGACATGAAAGCAAAGCTTTGTATGCCAAAGAGCTATATCTAGCTATATATATATATATATACTTTCTCCTGACTCGCCGCAATTCCCTTTTTTCTTGTAGATCTTTATATCGATATGGCCATCTACCAACACCAAAGAAATGAGCAATACGATAATTCAGTGCGATGCAGTTTTCATCTTGCTGACAAAAGCTCCAGTGCATGGTAAATTATCGTATATACAAATGAATCAAGGGAGTAAGTTTCTAAAGAAGCTGTGGTGCTGCGTCGGTGGGAGAAATTGGCCACCGTAAAGAGTTTAAAAGCTGACGTTTCAAGCGTTAGCCCTTCGCTCAGTCTGACGCAATTCACATATCAGTCTTTTTACTGACAATTTACTTGCTGATTCCGATACTGAAGAATAGAAATTTTAAGACCTCCTAAATTTCAATAATTGCCTTGTCGTAACAGTTTCGTACTCAGTTCCCTTTCATCCCGCACTAAGACCCGGTCCATGTCATTTGTTCGTCTCTAGTTCCCCATGCAAAACTCGCTCTATCCTTATAACTTCAACTTTATTTCAAAACGAACTGCCTCAGTGCATTGACTGAGTGATCTTTTAGTTGTAATTCAAAGTGTCTTTTTTTGTAGGATGGTTAGATAATTAGTTGCTTCAGTGAAACAAAGGCAGTAGTATCTTTGTGCTGTTATTCTTTGTGTTTTTAAGTGACCAGACCATCACAGTTTGATGCCTCTGACGTAAGCGTACACGTAAGCCTGTAGGGCTCAATTGAAGATTTCATGTGAGGTCGATCTCATTTCAGAAAATTTATTTCCCAGTCATACAGAAATACTCCTGTTGGATATTTACATTCAATCGCTTGTCTAACGACATAGGATCTCCCTGAGTGGACCATTTAAAAGTTCTAAAGGCCTTAACTTTTAAAATGAGACTTTAATTAACCCCAAACTTTTCATGTGATAAATTTCCATTTCATTTCAATATTAGAAGATATGCACCTACCTTGGTTTGAAAGCAGAGGCATCGTGCATATCA